GACCCTGTCTCATCCAACCAGACTAGGAGAAAGAGGGGATGGTGACACCTGGATGTACCCCGCCCCCACCACACCCAGGCCCGCTTCCCTGGGAGCTGCAGGGCTGAGGCCTCTGGGATTCCTTGCTTTCTGGTGTTGCCAGAGGCGGAGATGGGACCCAGCCCAGTGATGCTGGATCCTTCTGGGTGAGTCGGATCCCGGAGCTGCTTAAGTTTCAGAGGAACTCCTCCCAGGGTTCAGGAACCTCCCTAGGGCTCGGACCCTGCAGAGTAACCCTGTGTCTCCCCTCTGCCCACACTGGTCGTGGAAGCAGGCAAAGTGGCATGATCCCATTTTATAGGTGAGGACACAGGCTCAGAGAGGGAAGAGACTATGACAGCTGAGCTAAGGACCTGGGCCTCTGTCTGCCCACACTGGGCTCTCTGATTAGACAGCACTGGGGTGCAGGAGGAGCACTGCAGCAGGAGCCCAGCTCTTCTCCCACCTTGTTGTGTGTCCCTGGGCAAGGCACTGTCCCTCTCTGGACCTGTTTGTTTCCCCATTTCTAAACTAGAGATAAGGGTTGGAATGAGAATTAAATGAGATTTGTGAAAAGCATTTAGCCTGGTGCCAGGCACTTGGAAAGGTCACAGAGGAAGGCACCCCACTGCACCCACCATGGCTCCACCCAGCACCTGCACTGGTCCAACCCAGAGGGGCCTGACAGCTTTCTCCCAGTCACTTGCTCTGCTGGGCAAGCGGAGACCCAAGCTCAGGACATCTGGAAGGGTCTACAGATCCCCCCTCCCAGACAGCCTTCCACGTACCCTACATCAGCCTCATGGGTGCCGTGTCGCTTGCATGGGCCCAGCGAGACCCACGTCACAATGGCTGTCAACTAACTGATGCCACCTGTGGGGAGGGCATCCGGTCTGGGGGCCATGGTGTGAAGTGCAGATCACACAGCCTGGGGCTGCCTCCCCGCTGCACCACTGACCAGCTGCACGGCAAGTGTCTCAGCCTCTCTCAACCTCAGATTACCCATTTCTAAAATCGGGATGCGGCTGGGTGCGGTGGCTCATGCCTGTAATCCCATCACTTTGGGAGGCCCAGGCAGGCGGATCACCTGAGGTCAGGAGTTTGAGACCAGCCTGGCCAACACGACGAAACCCCATTTCTACTAAAATACAAAAATTAGCTGGGCATGGTGGTGGGCGCCTGTAATCCTAGCTTTTCAGGAGGCTGAGGCAGAAGAATCACTTGAACGAGGGAGATGGAGGTTGCAGTTAGCCGAGATTGCACCACAGCACTCCAGCCTGAGCAACAGAGCAAAACTCCATCTCAAAAAATAAATAAATACAAATAATAAAATGGGGATGAAATCTGTACTTAACTCTGAGAATTCCTGTAAGAACTAAATAAGAAAATCCACTCATTACACTCAGTACCGTGCAACCTATCATGATCATCCCCAATATCATTATTATTCATAGCAGCAGCCTTCAGCACCTGATGTAGGCCCAGCTCAATAAATCTTTGCTTGATGAATATGTGAACAATTTGTCCCACCAGCACCAGAGGTATCACCGAGGGGCAGGTGGGGGAGCCGATTTGGGCCTGTGTCCTACCTCCTCACCCTCTCCCTGGGAAGAACTCTATTTCCTCCCTGCTCCCAGCAGTGAGCTGCATCTGGAAGGCCCAGGGTCCGGCCCCAGCCTGGGCATGGGCTGTGTTTCCAAGTCTGTCCTGTCCAGCCAAACTGCAGCGGCCAACAAGATGGAGCAGCGGTCCTCCCGCTGGCAGGGGAAGGAGCATCCATCAATTACCTTGGCTGGCGGGAGCCACGGTGTGGCAGGCCAGCCCGGCCCCATCCATCAATCGTACTGGCTGCTGGCAGGGGCTGTCTACTAATTACTTAACACGTCGCGTCGTGCTGAGGCTGGCGCCGTGGCAGGGGGCTCACGGTGCAGTGTACACAGGTCTGATCATAAATGCTTAATGAACCCAGGGGGAGGTGGGGACGCAAGCTCGGCCCCATGGCCCAGAAGGACGCCCCTGAGAGCTGTCTCCACCGGGCCCCCAGACTCGACCCTGCTTGGCGGCAGAGGGGACGGCCTCACCTGTGTTCCCCGAGTCCCTCGGCAGCATCATGCCCGTGGGGGTGGGGGGCGTGATGATGATGTCGGGCACATCCAGGTGCTTGTCGTTCAGGACGGGGGCCTCTTCGTGGCTGCTGCTGCTGCTGCTGACACACATTTTAAAGCCTGAGAAGCCAGGCGTGGAGCACACATGCACGTACACACACGACAGAGAAATAGGCATCAGTGGCCGCCGGGAACCACGGGCGCCACCCCCCCTTCATCACCTGAGTCCTGACGCCTCGCAGCAAGGGGCGCAGCTGTCCCCGCATCACAGATGAAAACCTGAGTCTCAGGAATGTCAAAGGAGCCCCCGACACATCT